TGTCAGGAAAAAGTATGCTAAAAGGAATGTCAGACCCTCGCAAAATACGGGAATACTCTGACTGCCATTTCACATCCGGTGTGAAAAACACGAACCAAAAAAAACGCCATTTGTTTGTGATTACAAGCTTCTAGGCTTCAGAGGAAGTGATCAGCACGAGGTAAGTGAATTGCAATGTAATGGTGACAAGCGTCTGAGCTGCGAGGATCGCCTCTTACCTCGTTTTCAGGCGAATAGGCACGACCCATCGTTTTGTGGGAAACAAGGCATCAAGGCACATTACTGTCATTTATCAATTGAAAGCGATCTTCCTCTTGATTATCATTAAACGCCTGATTGCGATTGTATTTGTGGTGCTCTACACCTTTGAAATCAACAAGTCAGAAAGTATGCCTGGCATAGACTATAACAAAGCAGGTGTCGTGACATTATGTTTGCCTGCAACAAAAATTTCGGTAAACATGGAAATCAACATGCTTCAAAACCTGCAATATCGCTTACTACTTCCAAAAGGCGGACGCGTTAACATAGACACACTGGTATGGTGCTTTTGCACATCCGGAACTGTGGAAAATGGCCAAAAAGGTGGGAGAAGAGAAAAAAGTGGCGCTGTTTACCAAGAGGTTAGGGGTGGCATAATAAACTCTGTGTAACAGTTTAAGTTGCAACAAGTGGAACAATAGAGAGAATGACTTTTACGGACGTGGAAATGAGAGAGAGCCCAATGGTCTCAAAAAATTGTTCTTTAATCATTCATCTGGTGGAAATTTGTGCATTCTGGATGTTAGCGACCGAGGTCGGGAACACCTGCAGAAAAACGAGAGTCTCCTTTAATTTCTACAGTTTGATTCTCCTCCTTGGTATCAGTGCATTCTGCTAACGCAAATAGCTTCCTATCGCTTCGACAGGTCAATACGAGACCTTCCAAGCAGGTATGCCTTATTGCGTCTTTAAGGATGACGCGTGACGGTGGACACTGATGGTTTAATTCTTCACTCACAGTTAATTTGTGGAAGTGTGTTTTAGGTTGAGGTCAGAAGGCACAGCCCGTTTCTTGTTTGAGTACTTTCAAAAAAGGTCACAGCGTTTGTCAAAGCCAAGTCAACTCCGTCCGTCCTTGACCCCCCAAACCCCCTCCATCTCGATGGTCAAGTTAGCGCTTGTCTGCTACTGAAATTCCACGGCTGGCAAGAAAAGAGATGACAGACTGGACTACGGAAATAGTTTATTCAGTTGATAATGCATCTGTCTCACCAATGAGGGTCTAGGTAACTAATTAAGAACAGGAGGCATGAATGGGAGGAGAAGCCCCAAACACAAACACCTGATCAAATCTACAGACATCTTCAGCAGAAGCGAGCATTTCACTGATTTGAGCCAACCACTTTCACTGCACACTTCGGCACCGTAAAGCCGAACTCAAATTTCATGGGTGCTAATTCTTTCACGGGCATTAATGGCGCTTTAAGCGCAGTTTAAATTACTGAGACGCATCCAAATTCACATTGCAATCACATTTGCACAATCGTGAGTGATCGCCTTTTCGCACAAGAGGAGGTGGATTATGAATCCACCGCCAGAGCGATAATTTGGAGGGCCTCCTCGATAACGCCAGAAAAAGACAAAGTAGAATGGCTACTTTATGTCCAACAATAACGCCAAGCGCCTGTTTAGAAGCCCTTTTCATAGCACATTCATACAATTGCCGGGTAAGCATTTGAAATGTGACCAAGAAAGTGTCTGAAGCAATTTAAGGATGAGCGAGTTAGGAGCCAGCGTCTAAAGGTTACCCGTCTCGCCCACTTCCCTAATTTCGTCTGGTTTTAAGCACTAGGCCAACAAAAAATAGCAATACGGTTTACTGAATTTTTCTAAAAGAATGCCATTGAAAAGTCTGCATTTCCACGATGATATTATTTTAGCCTATAAAGGAAATGGAAGAACATTTCCCTCATGGATGGTTTAGTTAATGCTAATTACTAGTTGCTGAAACCATAATGAGCACTTCGTCCACACTGTTCCTTGCAGATGCCAAATGGGGAGACTAAATAAGTGGTAGGTTTGGAAGCGGAAGACTGGCCGGAGGTATGCTCTAGGCCGAGAGGGGAAGAAAGCGCCAGTACACTTGCGAGGGAAGGACAAGCGTGAGCAGGCGGGACACGACCGTCTGTCAGTGAGCCTAGAGCCAGTCCGATTGGTTGGAGCGAAATAGTGACCTTGAGGGTTCGCAGCACATTAGCCGCTTCATCGAAGCGCGTGCGTGCGTGCGTGCGTGGGTGCGAGGGTGGATGTGGTAACGATACGGCTTTCCCCACCTCGCTCTCGCTGCCCCAAGTCTCATGCTGTGCCCTGGCAAATGGCATTTCGTAGCACTTGAGTTATCTCAAAGCGTCATAAGACCTGCAAGTCTAGACATTCAGGTGAATTGGTTGCACACGAAGACTGGAAAAGTCAGCATAGACAAACATAAAACTAGAGTGCACATCGTTCTGTTGGAATCCATTGCATCACTTCACCTTACTTCATCATCCAGGTAAAACCTGCTTTAAATAATAACTGGGGAGCTCCGAAGTTTTTCTTACTCTGTTAAGCATTCATTTATGAGTAGAACTAAAGAATACTCTAAATGCTTTCCTCAATAAATGGTAAATAAAAAAAGCCGACGGCCAAGTCTATCGATTTCAACGAGTTTTGGTAAATCAAGTGGCAAGAATACTGAGATAAGCACTTGTTTGAATATTTTAGGGCGTCAAATGAAAAAGCGCGTTATTTCAACACGCCAGCATTAAGCAGATGATGCAGACAAACAACGATGGCAGACATTCTGACCTCTTTTCCAGTAAAATTTTTTTGGAAAACATTTGAATTTATTACGGTGGGCGGAAATGAGTCTATTTACAATTCGCGGGTTTGAAGCGGTGTTAGCAGTAAATGATATCAAATGTCCTGGCATCGTGAGTGAAGTCGTATTCTATTTTTCACCAGTGCGGAGAACATGACAATGCATTCGACATCGGTGGATGCGATGTGTAAACTAAACGTCTACTGTCACGTTTTTGGCTCATAGAAACGCCACCGCGTCAAGCGTCATTCCATAATTCATGTTCTAGTTTGCAGGATACGCCACGTTCGAAATCTAGGGTTCCATCTGCCTAACATTGTGCTTTTGTTTGATGAACTAGTTTCCTGAAGACTGCATATTGCACACATTATGGATTCCGTACTGTTTCATACGAAACGCCCTATGAGAAAACTTTCGCCATGTAGTGCAAATTTGTGGTGGGAAGATCTGCACCATTCAGTTATAGCCAAGAGGAGTACTATATTTTCTGAAAAACACAATAGCGCGAAACTCCAAAGCAGGCATCCAGGGAAGAAAGCCACACAGTCAAGGGGTTTTTAACCACAATTAAGTCAGTTTTCATTCCACTTTCATTTAAATCAAGTCGGATAACAAACGGTTGAAAAATGCCAAATGATAAAATGTACGCTTGCTTGTTCGGAAAGATTTTTGTGGTTCTAAGAATCTACCGTACTTTTAAAGAAATTGCATTTCAAACAGGCGATATATATTAGACGAGATGATTTTTATTTACAGTTTTCACTGGGTTCTCAAATCTAGTGGTTTTCCGTCGGTTTGCCAATTGCTGCACCTTTAGCATTTGCCAGAACTACGTGTGTTAGTGCCATTTGGAGGGTCAGTAAACATTGCCGAGCATTTGATGCATTATGCACTTTGAGCTTTGATAGAAAAATGGTAAATGGGTGAACAACATGATCCATATACTACCACATCTTATTTCAATTATGAGGTAATTCTTCATTGCTAGTCTCGCCCATGCATTTTATCAAATCATCACCTCTGAAAAACAGCAAAAGCTATAAACAGGCACAAAAGGCAATGCTGCTCAAGCTCTATGAAAATAAACAAGACACGAAACCGGTCTCACTGTAGTATCGCAGGCATTCATGATGAGAAGTAATTACTGAAAGGTCGGGTTAGAATAATGGAACAGCTGCAGAAATGTCCAGAATAAGCGATCGTTCAATTTCTTTACTTGATCACGTGCTTGAAGCAACAGGAACCCGCCCCCATCTCTATCTGTCTGTTCAGCAACCGTTATTTACGAAATATTTTCATATCTTAATATTCCGTTATTTGCAGGAATATTTTTGAACCTAAAAGCTGGCACCAACACGAGTTGAAACAATCGGAGACAGGTAACAAAAATGAAACGCTACCACGGCTCACTGCCCGGGGGTGACTCTTACCTCTGAAGAATAGGACACACCCCCACCAAACCGTTGTCTCCAGACACGACGCGCCATTACAACCGAATTCTAGTCTTGTCACACTCACTACTATTTAATTAATAGTAGACTACACCAGGTGCCTTACAGGTAGCAACAATTTATGAGAATCGGTCTCGCTTCAAATAGGCACAAAACCTGTCTATGAACAACGGATGAAAGATCATAAAAGATTCCAAAAAATGACCCTAGCAACCCAAACCTTCCCCATATGTCTAGCGTAGTCAGTTTGATAAAGGAATTACACAGTCGGTGATAACTAAGGAAATGAAGGAAATAGTTTTTACTGTATACAGGAAAAAAAAACAGACTGATGTAATATCAACAATTCAGAGGTAGAGCTAGGAACTGTCAGAGGCCTGAATGTGATCAATGAGTTCGTGCAACCGTCCCAACGCATCTCGGTAGGTTCGTGTGGAGCTAAATACAAACGAACTGTGAGCGATTTGGAATCGAGGGTCTACCTCACTAGAAGGAGAGACTCCAACCGTTCAAGAACTGGTCCCAGACGCTTTCTTCGGACTGGTATCACATTCAAACTGGGTGAACAAGGTGCCAACTCCTTGAGACGATCTGGCGGGCGGGTGGACAGATGAGAGGAAGTAGACTCGCATGACCTACCGGCTGATTGCATATCGGCCATTCGAGGGCGTTTGACCAGTCGTCTGCGCTTCACCACAGCAGGTTCTGGTGGGTGGTTGTGGATCATTTTAAATTTCTTCACTGTGAGCACACTGTCCTTCATAAGGAGATAAAAGGCGGCGGGACAATCACAACGAATGGTGCTGCAAAATCACGGAATGAGGGGAGTGGGTGAAAGGCAACGAAATTGTGACGAACCGGTGTTTGAGCGGGTCGACAGCAGTGCTTTTATAGCTGCCGTAGTGGATACATACGTAGTAGACACGCTTATAGACAAGACGCTGGAAATCAGGCGACATGGGTGGCAGCTTAATGGCATCTCGCTTGCGAAACATGAAGCCCGATTCCTGCAAAAGAATTGAAATCAAAGATATCCCAAGTTATTTTCAAATGCACAGATTCCAGCTAAGATATATTGGTTTGTCAAATAAACGAAAAAATAAACAAAATTACAAGTGGATTTGAGATTTCACACGCAAAAGATTTGAGCCAATTATTCGTTTATCAATTGCATTCAAATAGTTATCAAGAGCCAAGAAGAGTGACTTGACTTATCACACAGCTTCAGTTGCAAATAAATTAAAATATGTGAAATTAAGTTAAATGAATTCTTGTAGGGCTAATAATTTGCTAAAAATTGAAACGCACTAAAGGAACACAAGGCAATGGAATCACATGAAAACTACCGTAATTGCACAAACTTGGACAATAAAATTACCATAATGCGGTAAATAGAAGGCAATGGTGAATTTGTTATAAAAGGTTTGCTTCTAGGGACGCAAAATGAATAAAAGGACACCGAGTTTATGGCATATACAGGACCGCAGTTTGGTCATCAATGCGTAAGAACAAGCGCACCTGTTGGAACAGTTGGAGCTTCTCCACAAAATCATCAAACGATTGGAAGGGGAAATTCGCTATACTTATATTGAACTTCTCCGTTACATCCATCTATGTGAGCTCTGAGGTCATCAGCAGCCAGCCAAAGGCCACACTCAAATCCAATGATTGAGAAGACAAAATGGAACGGAGTTTTATGTCATTTAGACAAAATTAGAGTGCCTCCACATAGCCCACTAAAGAATAAAACTTTTTAAATTTTCAACGGTGCTTACATGAATATATGAAGTATGCTCCATATGCTGAAACAATGCTTTTATTATAATCCTGCATTTTTCCATTTCAAGGCCATAGGTGCTGGTAGAATTGGGTGTTCATCACATGCTAAGGGCTTATCGGGGTTTTTACATAAAAGCCTTGAAGGATGGCTTTTTCAAAAGAATGGGCAAAGGAATATGTAAGTTCGGCCTCTTAAATCCTTAACCACTTTCAAGTCGTATGTCTTATGCTGTATGTAGTGGCATCATTTCGCCGTAATTTGTTGAGACGTACTGTCATTTTGCCACGTAAACTGGATTAGTGGGACCGGCTGAAGGCACAACCTTTCTACTTGCATTCTGTAGGCTTTTTCGTGTTTCGAGGACTTATCTGTTTCATATACTTGCCCGATTTAAACACTTGTATACGGGTTTAAGCAAAATTGTTGTTTTACCCTTTCCCTCAAGGCACTTTATTTCACTTGTTCCAGAATCTTCATTATTACTGAAACTTATGGCATGTCGCTTATTTACTCTTATTTGTTTGCCAAGTCATTTGTTCATTTTACTACTTTTCTTAAGGGATATACTTTCAACGAATCGGCTCCGACTATGCCAATACTTTTAGAGATACCCTTAAACAAATACAAGACAAACCCATTAGGTTTGCTGCCATTGTCTCAGCAATGTGCGCTACTTCTGCAGTCTACATCTCATGCCCTCACGAGTTCGATTACCGAGGCGCCCTTCTCAGTGCTTCTATCGATCTCTGGGAGACCCCTGGCTGCCTTCAAAGCCGACGAAGCCTTGCCCACATCGAGGAACGAGTCTCTGCCCTCTTCCATGGCCAACTACGTCACTGCAGCCTTTTTGGGTTGGTTCACTTCATCTGGCGCGACGACCGAACCGATGGCTGTCGCCTCTACTCCGAGATCTGCCCCTACGCCTACGCTAGCTCCGGTCCTACCGGTGACAGTCAAAGCGGACCGTTTCGTAGCTTTCTTCGCCTCTTTCTTTACGATACTCCACCAGGCAAGAATGTTGACGAGGTTGGGTTTGCGGAGCGGGCAAAACATATTTTTACCACACGAATCGTTGATGTTGGTGCTTTTGGACGCTTCTGGGTGCTCAATTCCGCCATGCTTGATTACGACATCAATGAAGAGGAGTTCTTTGAGGGCGCTACAGGCGATGTCGCCGCTTCAACTAAGTGACCATCTTCAGCCAAGCAAGATTTCTGAGAGGCTTGAAGATACTTCTGAGCAAGCTTCCCATGCGAGTGCATTACCAGTACCTACTCAAGAAGAGGCAATGGAGAGTAACGATTCCCAAGAGACTACTGCGGTTACAAGTGAACCATGCAAAGTTGAAGGTGGAGAGGATGAGTGGGAGGTTGTGAACGAGACGCTTGTGTACGCGGATTGCGTTGGAGCCGTTGAATCGGAACTAATGGAACCCGGAAAACCAGTGCTTCTTGTGGATCTCGACACAGAAAGTCCACTAATACAAGTGAGCCAGTATATTGTGGTACTAATAAGGTGTTCTCTTTCCTCATCTGCGACAGATTGGTCCAGCGATCTTTCAAGGCACTTATGCGGAGTGCCTGGGAACGAATCTAATCTTCGAGAAACACCATCCTGCCCCTGGGACTGCTCAGACCTCCATGAGCGCTGCCACCCGACCCTCAATCGAAATCTTCGCCTCGCGCACCAAAACCTCTATCCGACCCCACTTCACTTATTTTGGCAAGACATCTAAAAACCTCAATCTCCAACGTGTCTTTTTGAAGCCTAAGGAATGAACTTCCCCCTCTTCCTCCATATATATGTGCACCGACTCTCTCTTAGTTTCCATGCTTTTATTACCTTTTGTATATAATAAATTATCAGCTTTTTCACCACGTTACTGGCTGGGTATTTGCCTTATGGTGTGGTTATATATTTCAAAATAAAGTTGTGAAGTTAGGTTTTCCTTGTCTTTGCTTGATTACTTTGACATTTTGGTTTGTTCTTTGTGTAGCTTGAGTAGTGAATGAATTTATCTGGTGATTAATTACTATTAATATCAAACTCTAAACACCTCGGATATGTTTCTGAACCCTTAGTTCTGCTTAGGGGCCAGTTGGATTTTGTGTGGGAGTTAATTGCAAGACAGCTGTTGCAAGTGGAGTACTGGAAGCAGTGCATAATCTAATCTTAGTAAGTTGGTTGGATCATTGTCGCCACATTGGCATCTATCCATCAAATTCGTATCTTCACGGCTTAGTGATATCAAACAATCATGAAGTCGGTTTTGTGGTCGGTTAAAAAGCGTAATGTCGTTTATAAAGGTACCCAAAGATCTCAGCAAAGGCCTTTGATAAACAGTAAGCCATCCATCTAGACGGGTGCTCTTTCTTTCGTTATGCAGTTATGACTTTAAGGTACAACTTATTCACAAACGCCTAGTTCCTATTTGAGCAGAAGACGAAAATTCATAACCCCCCTAGATGTCATAGCCCCATCCGAGTTTATGAGTGCCGACTAGGCGCATAAACCATCTTCTGAGAACTCAAGCACCTTTTGTGGTCGCACATTCATCTGAGTAATTTTAATGGGCAAAAGGGAGATTCAATAACAGTGAGAGAAATGTTTTAGAGAGGACAATGTGGGGAGAGGAGGGAAGAGGGCAAAAAAACAAAGGCAAAATGTGATTTTTCCCCTCTTTCGCGCGATCATCGCAATTGACTAGAAGCGAGGGGTCGCTCACGTACATTTACGCACAACACCGTTTTTGTTCACGATGATAGGTCTGAAAGAAGGAAGGACTTTTGTGCCAATTGGGCTTATTTACCCTCGTGCATGCACACCCATGCATTCAAACACGTGCGGAGCCTTTTCGGTAGAGCAAAGAGCATAGAATGCATCGCCGCGTGCCTGGAATGTATCATGCAAAATCGACAACACTTTACCTCTAGGAGTCTGAATCTGGAGAAAAAGCGATAGAAATAGTCAAATATGTAAATAATTTGGGGGAGGGAAGCAGGAGGAGTGGTGCACTGTACAGAGCAGTTGGTTATGCATGTATGTCTCTGGATAGTGGATCCAAAGGCATGTGTAGTAGTGGTGGCCGGGTGCAGATGGGATGCATGCTGAATTAACGACCTGTGTCGATGTAGCTGTAGTCTGCGACGTCAAGCATCTTGCCTGACCCACTCTCCTTCGACAGCTGGGGTGTTGGGTCGGCGGACTTGCGTGCTGCTTCTTTAGGAGAGTTGCGTAGCGAAGTGGAGTGGAGGAGTTTGCGCGGACTGAAGACGCGACCGGCACGGGTGGAGCTTTCCACGCAGCCCGAGGTTATATTCTGCAGGCGTTGGTGCAGGTTTTGTGCCTTCGCGCTAATTAAGCGCTTTAATCCAGACCCAGTGCTCCCACCAATGCTGCCGCTACTGGACTCCTGCAAAGACTCTTGCGACCGGTTAGAAGGCGGAAAGTCCTTATGGGGTTGCAGGGTGGTCGAGGATTGATACTGCGGGAGTGCCTTGCCGAAGTCCTCACTCGTTCTCGATCCAGCCGATTTTTGGTCATGAGAAAAGGGTGAGGTCTGCTCTGACTTTGAGACTGATATCTTACGGGCATTCTCCGCGAAATTTTCTGTAAGATATGAGGAAGGGATGGATGTTCAGGGAGAAGTGGAAAGAAGAGAGGGGAACAGTGGGTGAGATAGCGCTTACGGGTTGTGGGAGCGGCCTCTCCTTTCATGCTGGTGAAGAAAGCCTCACGAGCGGCGGCGGTGGAAATTGCGGCAGAGGTAGGGGCTGTAATGGGAGGACTAGAGAAACTTGCAGGAGTGAGAGAGGTGTCCCTCTCGAGTGGCCCCGCCGGCAAAAGCTCAACGGATTTACTCTCCACCGCTCGGTTGCAGATCATCTTTAACAGTTTTGCAGCGGTAAACTCAGAGGATGGACCAAACACATCAGCGGCACGGTTAATACACAATTCAACGGCTTTCATGAGCCATGTGTTGTCTATAAACTCCATCATGTTTGCCACATTGAACCTGGGTGGGATAAAGGTTCCCTTGGATAAATATCGCGCTACTCGTTTAACATTAGTAGATTATAAACAAACTTTGGTTTCCGGCGAAGAACCGTGGGTCCAAACATTGTAGCCAGGTTTGCTGCACCCATTTGATTGACTGATTGGTAGTTTGATACCCTTCAAGACAAATATTTCAGTAAACTAACAGTATTTATTCAATG